ATACATTAGCAATCGGAGGGAGATACAACACTATGGTCACTCACCTAGTCCCAATGACCAAGAGGTCGAGATGGGGACTAGGGAGTGCCTAAGGGGTCCTTATATACTAGAAGGGCTGCTTAGCAACCAAAGACAAGGCGCGAGAGCGAGGCAGTGAAGATGACAAAGGGAGAACAAAGGGCGGGAAGGAAAAGGCAAAGGCATGGCGATCACGGGAACGTAGCATGCGGGTGTGGGAACGTATCTGCAGTGTCCAAACTGGGATGGGCTAAGAAAGGAAATGGTCCGAAAATGGAAGGTGGACGTCAAGGGGAGGGGAATGGGCGGCAAAAAGGGGCGTCTGTCCAACGTCCGTGACAACAAGCCTGAGTTCGCTAAGGCCTTTCGTGCGCTGCGTCTGCTCGAACAGCGTGTTCGCCCACCCGGCTAGCTCTGGTGGACGCCTTGGATGGGGTGCAGACTTCTCTCCCGCCGGCCTTCTCACCAAGGTCCTCTCCGCTGCGGTGAATCTGCATGTTCTTCACATACGCGATGCAGAGCCCCTCTTCCAGTCTCATCCGGCCGTCTATGAGGCCGTCACGAAGCTCGACCAACTGAAGGTGCTCTCGCCGTACTACACCGGCCACACCTGCCTCAAGGCCATCTCGCAGCACCGGGGCAAGCTGCAAGGCATCGAAAACGGGCTGTAGAAGGACGGGCCGCGTCCACAGGGGGACGTCACGCTGTTCGGACGGTATGTCGAGTCGTTGCGGCACATCAGGCTCCGGGAGTGCGGCTGCATGCTCGAGAGCATCATCGAACCACACGTCTGGCTGGACGTGCACATGCTCCACATCGACGGCTGCATCGCGAAGATATCCGCGCTTGCCCGCACGTTCTCCAACCTCTGCCACCTCACGTTCCACATAGAGTTCTCCGTCAAGCAGGAGATGGGTCGGTGGTCTCGAGATGAGTGCCCCTATCCCGCTGTTCCCCTCACGCGTGTGGCGGCTGCAGCTACAGTATCCGATCGGCGTGAGGTCAGGGTTCCAGAACAACCTGAAGACCCCCCCGCTCATGGAGAAGACTAAGCCCCTCGTGCTCTCCGTCACGCTCTCGCACACAGTCTTGGAGGTGTTCCTAGGGCGCATGAAGAGCTCGATGCTGTTGCTACGGTCTATGGAGATGGTCGTCAATAATAGGGCGTGCGGTCGTGCCAGCATGCAATGGTAAATGTTCGAAGATCGGGTCGTGCGTGTTCTAGCTCGTTCTGTCCTCACTTGCGGAGAGCTCACCTCACATCGCATAAAGTGCGGAACCTTGAGATCATGCCGGGTGAGATAGGGTAGATAGAGGGAGAGGGAAGGACAGCGGTGGGAGGCGGTGTGGCGGGAGGGGACGTCTTGCGCGTGGTGTCGAATGCGTGCTCATGCGCTTGTTGTAGACGTGTGTAAGGGCGCTGTAAGTATGCGTCCCGTACAACAAATATATCTTGGGTATGTGTTAGTCCATGAGGTGTGCAAGGGCATACTGCTCTAGCTGGAGGACCAGATATTCTCCAAATATCTGGGTGAAATATTTGCGAAGTATTTATCAAATATGTGTGGCGGTCTGGCACATCTCAACAGGAGAAATATGCTCAAATATTTCATAAGGCTCTCAAATATTTGGAGGGGCCATGCAATCATGTTCCTCCCTACTTGGTAGCGCTATGTAGCGCTGACACTAAATATTTAGCGAATATTTGGGGGAGGAGGTACCCTCCTCCCCTTGCTCCCTCCATACATCCCAAATATTTGCGGTTCGCCTCGAATATCTGGGAGGGATGTTCCTCAAACCATCTCAAATATTTGGAGGGTGCCCTATAACTTTATGGCAAAATAATTCGCATTTTACCATAACTATAAGGATCAAAAAATTTATCTAACTGATATCCCTGATCACGGGAACGTAGCATGCGGCTGTGGGAACGTATCTACAGTGTCCAAACTGGGATGGGCTAGGAAAGGAAATGGTCCGAAAATGGAAGGTGGGCGTCAAAGGGGAGGGAATGGACGGCAAAAAGGGGCATCTGTCCAACGTCTGTGACAAGGACGAGGGAAGTCCCGTACTGTTCTCCACTGCGCAGCCTACTAATTTCCTTCAGATAACAAGTACTCGACGTTTGCGCTCTATAATAGGGACGTCCGGTGGTCAGGTCGACACAATTCCTGCCCTCAGCTTCGCTCGCGATCCGGTCTGTCTCAAGATTGCCCCTCCGCATCTGCTGTGACTCTGCTCCTTTCAAGCTCGTCCTGTGGTCACCACGGTCACCTCCTTGGGGCGAATGGCATGAAAGGGACGTACAGCGATGTCAGCTCGTGCATGCTAGGGTCCCGTTGTTTAGGCAAACCAGACGGCCATGGCGGCGAGGCAATAACCATTGCTCGTGGCCACAGATTGCTCCTGATACGCACCACGTATCCTAGAAATATATTAGTTATGATCTACTGTACAATATCTTGCTTGGTTGTCATTGCAATGGCCTGTCAAACAGGTGAGGTTCGAACATATGATCCATATGAGCCACAACCCGCAGAGGCTCCGGCTCCCTCTGCGGCTTGATCCGCGGATGATGGATCCGGATCTGAGGCTCCGGATCTCTATGCGGATCTGGATCACGGTGACTGAGCCGCAAACACCCGCGGGTAAGACTCTGTATCGAGCCACAGATGATCCATGTTCAGCCCTACGCTGTGGACTGTTATGGCACGCTTCGTCGCTGCCTACAGTGCCACAGAGAGGTAACCTATGTCGGCATGATCTCTCTCTGCCTCGACTGCGTTCTTTGAAGGTGTGTGGCTGATAAGTCTCCCTTCTAGAACCATACCTCTCGACATCATGTCTGGTGCTCTCTACAGTGCAGTCCCTACCGCCTTCGATGGCCGCAACTACCTCAAGTGGGCGCAGCCGATGAAGTTGTACCTTAAAGCTCAAGGCCAGTGGGGTTCGATCATCAACACTCAGCCTACCAACGCCGAAGAAGCGAAGGCCTGGCTTGACGCCGACCTCAAGGCCCAAGACAACATTAGCCTTCGCCTTGCTCCCAGCGTTAATAGCGCTGTGTCGTCTCAGACGACCACCAAGGGGATCTGGGACTACCTCGAGACCACCTATGGCAAGCCTGGCGTGCCAGCTATCTACCAAGACTTCCGTGCTGCCCTCGCTCTCACTGTTCCGGCCGACTCGAACCCTGTCCCCAACCTGGACAAGTTCGAGGCGTACTTTCAATGTCTCGAGACGAACAAGTTCGTCGTTGCCGACCACGTCAAGGGCATGATGCTCATGGCGAAGCTCCCTTCCAACATGGATCCGATGATCCAGCTCTACATCGCTGGCTTGAAGCCTGCGACGGGCAAGACTGCGATTGAGGCGATCACCCTTGCTGGGATCCGCCAGCAGGTCGTACTCCATTGGGAGCAGCGTCAAGGCCGCCAGGGCCAATCGCGCACAAGTGCGAACAAGCTCAGAGCTGTCAAGCGCAAGGGCCCCGACCCTTCCTTCTGCCAGCAGCAGCAGTGCCCTCAGGGGCAGCAGCAGCAGCAGCAACAGCAGCACCCTCAAGGGCAGCAGCAACAAGGACGCCCTCGTGGGCAACGTGGTGGATGTGGTCATCGACAGCAGCAAGGTGCGCACCCACATGCACACTTCACATCTATTGCTGACACCGTCACCACACCGACCATTACTCAGGGTCCGGACGTGGTGCTGGATCCGTGCGCCCTCCTGCGCAAGCCGGTCTGCATGGCCACAGAGAACAACAAGTACCTGTCGCTCACGCATGCCATATCCCTCGCAGAGGAGCTCGATATTCCGGCAACCCCTGAGCGCATTTGGACGTTAGAGAACCTCGTGCGGCAGCTGCCCACTTCAACAGGTTCCTCAACAACCTCCTCCGAAACATTGCGCGAGACGGAAACCGTCTCCTCGGACGTCCCCAGCGCGTCCATCAGCCTGTCCAGCCCAGACACCAGCCGCAAACTATCTCCAATCAGGAGTGGAACTGCCGCGTTAAGGCTTGGACGTACAAAGGCACCAAGTCCTCTGACAACGGATGGGGAAGACCCCCTGTTCTCAGATGAGGAAGAGCCGGTGCCGCCGCCCAAGCGCAAGCGCACGCTCAAGGAGCGGCTCGCTCCAACACTCAGGGAGCGTCTGGACAATCTCATGGACGAGGTGGACGATGCTGTGTCTCTCGGCCTAACTGATGCTGAGGAAGAGATCGACAATTTCTTCGAAAGGACCTGGTATGTTTGCCATCCTTTGACCTCTGACGAGTCGTATATTGACTGCCTGCACCCTGCAGTGACTAGTGTCGCATGTTCTTCTCGTAGAATAGATGGTCTGCGCGACAATGTACCTGTAGCTACACCCTTACAATTAGCTACAGAAGATAATATATGTCTTCACCACTCTTCGTATGCTGAGTGTGCGCGCTGTAAAGGAAAAGGCAGAACATCGACTGAGTAGAGTGATCCCAACCTAGTATGGATGATCGACTCAGGTGCTTCAATGCACTTTACATTCTGTCTCGACGACTATGTCGACTTCCATTACTACGGTACACCTCAACCGTTACACACGGCAGATGGTGTTACTACTATGATTGGCGAAGGAACAGTCATCATACCAACTGAGCTTGGAACTACCTTAAAGCTGACGAATGTCGCTATGGTACTCAACCTCACGTATAAGCTTATATCCTTAGGAGCATTGCTCAAGGATGGATTAGAAGCACATGCAAGCACTGCTGAGATCTCTTTCTATCAGAATGATAAGCTTATGGTCGCATTTAAACCGCGCTTTGAGAATGACACTATATACGTCACTCATACGCAGCCTAGATCGGCGCGATATGCTGTCGCAGCTAGTAATGCTGTTGACTATGAAACTCTTCACCGTCATTTCGCGCACCCTTCGCACGATGTGCTGAAACATGCACGGAAACACACCGAAAAGTGCCCGCTTGTTGAGTTCCCTCTTCATGACTCAATCTGTCGAGGATGTGCTAAAGGCAAAATGCCATCGCAACCTCATCCGCTTGACATTCGTCGAGCGACACGTTCTTTCGAGCTAATCCATTCAGATCTCAAGGATTTCCCTGTGCCTTCATACCACAAGTACAAGCACAAGATACTGTACTTTGACGACTACATGTCGCATGTATGGACTATCGGACTTTGTACAAAGGCTGCTGCACTTAAAGTTACACAGCAATGGCTCGCATATGTCGAGAACCAGTTCAATGCCAAAGTGCAGAAATGGAAATCTAATTCTGCAGGCGAGTTGAAATTGACCGCCTTCACAGACATGCTCAAGGATCGTGGGATCGAAAGAATACCCTCTGCTCCCAACATCCATGAGTAGAATGGACGTGCTGAACGAATCATTCGCACGATCATGGAAAAGGGTGAGGCAATACGTCACGATGCTTGCATACCACAATCATGGTGGGAATTCTCATTCGAGTGGCATGCAGCGCATGTCTATAACAGAACTCTGATGCGACGACTCAACTGGCGCACTCCATATGAAGTTCTGCATGGTTCTAAACCAGACATTAGCCAGCTACGAGTCTTCGGATGCGGTGCCTATGTCTTCTTACCACACGAGGTTCACAAGAACAAGCTATCACCCAAGTCGGAGCTGATGGTCTATCTCGGCGTTGGTGATGGTAATCACAACCATAAGTTCATGTGTTTGCCCAATAATGTCATCTTTACAGCCGCTCAAGCGCTGTTTGATGAACATATGTTTCCCAAGTGTCCTGGACACAGAACAAAACGATAAAGGCAGCCTTCTGCGCCTGAAGAGGAAAAGAATGGACAACCTGCGAACCAGGCACCCACTTCTTCTTTTCTCCCTGATGACGATGAGGAACCACATCGTCCGCTCCCAAAACCTTCTGCAAAGGCAAGGGCAAAGGTCGAGACGTCGTACCTAATGCACCGCCGGCAAATCCTCCTGTACCGCAGCCATTGCGCGGACAACAGCCTGTGCCTGTGCAACGCCCAGTGTCGCCGCCACCTCCACCGGTCAGATCTCGTGCGCCTTCACCGCGCCAATCTGGGAGAGAGCGGAAAGTACCGACCTGCGAGGGCAATGTCTATGGTGAATCACAGCACCCTACAGACATTTTAAAGGAGATAGAAAAACAAACATCATGGAGGAACTTGGTGGAACAGCGTGGAGAATTGAGTCGCTCTCGACCTGCGTCAGTTCCAAGTCCTCGGAATGAGTCACAGGTTCCCGGACCTAGCTCTACCAAATCTAATCCACGATCACAACC